AGAACCTAGAGACAGAACCTGGCTACAGAACCTGGATAGAACATGGCAAGAGAACCTGACTAGAACCTGGTGACTGAACCTGGCAAAAGATCTTGGACAGAACCTGGCAGGAGAACCTGGACAGAACCTGGTGACAGAACCTGGCTGGAAAACCTAGCGAGAGAACATGGCAACAGAACCTGGCAACAGAACTTGGCTGGAGAACCTGGACACAGAACCTGTCTGGAGAACCTAGCGAGAGAACATGGCTAGAGAACCTAGACACAGAACTTGGCTGGAGATCCTAACCAGAACTTGGCTAGAGATCCTGGCTAGGCTGCTGATCAACTGAACGCTGTCTCCATGTCCTTCCTTCTTCGCCGACTCCGTCCACACCTTTGGGGACCCCTGGACCTGCTGGGGTTGGACCCCAGCACCCCATAACCATATCCTGACTTCTCTCCTAGTAATTTCCTTGGTTTTGATGGAACCCAGTTTTTCTTCATGGCTCTACCACTCTCTGCCTAAACACTATAATTCATTTTGCCTGATTTCAAATGTTATATGAATGGACTCATACTGTATTTATGATTTGGTGTCTTCCTTCTTTCCCTCAATTGTTTACCAGATGTTGGTGGTGGCTGTAGTTCATACTCATTTTCAGTTCACAAGAAAAGAAATGTAGTCTTATTTTCCCGCTCAATTTCTTCCCCAAATCTGGACTTTATGGGGTAGCCCAGGTTTGTGATACTCTCACAACTAGGAAAACTCATTCTCTCCCCCTTTTTGTGACTTTCCCCGCCCCACATTTGAGGATGTAGGTCTCAGACTAGGAGGGCCCTTGCCCCCCTCCTCAGCAGTGGGTGCCGGCCGCTCTGCCCTTTGGCTGTGGTTCTAGGAAACAGCCCCCTGGGCCACTGGAGGCCCTTGATCCACAGCTGCCACCCTTGCTAGGGCAGCGATGGAATTCCTTCTGGGGCCTGGAGACAGCTGGTGGGAGCGTGGAAAGCACAGCAGGCAGAGGAATCCGCCGGGGGTCAGCCGGGGAGGGTGGGTGATGGTGACCCCCCTGGTCACGAAAGGCCTGGTGTTCTCTGGCTCAGGCTTCGGTCAGGAGCCAGGAATTCTCGTCTCTGGTGTGTGCACACCCTCCTCTGCCCGGCTCCAGGGCCCGGGCAGGAGGGGTGAGCCCTCAGTTACTGCCGTTCGCCCGAGCTCGGCCTCCCTGAGCCGCAAAGGAAGAGGCAGTGGTGGAGCGGGCACCGAAACGGAGCTAGTTTGCTGCTTCAATGCGGGTGTGGGCTGTGTCACCACGAAGAGAAGCCTCGCCCACGCCCTCCGCTCTGTCCTCCGACAGCTGCCCTGTCTCTCCTCGCTAATCTGGTTGAACAAGTGGTCTGCGCTCCGCTTCTTGCCACCCTCTCCTGGCTAATCCTCTGGAATCTCGCCTTTGCCCCCAGCGCACTGATGGTGTTTGCTCGCTACACCCGGCCACACTGGGCCGGGCCAGGGCAGATGAAGCCCCGGGATTAAAACCTCTTACTTGATCTTAGCCTGTTAAGGACTCCCACGCCCCCTCTCCCCGACCCCCCACGTCCCAGTTGCCATCAGGATTGGCTTAAATGCCACGGGTCCTTCAGTCACAGGGCAGGTGTGTAGCTCTTGTCTCCCACGTTCCTTGATATCACAGTGCCGGTTTGTAAAGTCACGCATTTTTCTGTGGATGCCACCAAAAAAATGAATGTGAGTCTTAAGCCAATGCCTTAAACCAGTCCCTGTCAGGTTAATTTTAAGTCTTTATGTGCAAGAAGTGTCATCTTTGCACCAGGCTGGCCCCGTGTGTCTGTGCCGAGCCCCGAGCCCGGTGTCCTCCGGCTGAGCTGCTGGAGGACAGACTGTGCCGGCTCCGCTCGTCTCGCACCTCCCGGCAGGCACAGGGGAGCTGAGGAAGGTGATGACAGACGCAGGCGACTCCAACACCCAGTGCTGAGTTGTCATTTCCTTGGCAGGGCTACACCGGGCGCCTTCCAGGAGTGAGAGGTGTGTGCGTTTCATGAATGAGAAGCAGCAGCAGCAGTAACCTTGACCCCCCTCGGCAGGATGCCCCCGGTGCCGTTATGCATCGGCACTGCTCCACGGCCGTGAGAAGGGCGGGAGGGTGGCGGTGCGGGAAATTTCCTGTTAACCAGCAGGACCGTTATTGGATGGCAGGCAGCAATCATGGCTACTATTTTAAACATGAAGAGGCTCTCTCGTGAAAGACTGCATTCCCAGGTTATAGTGTTACTCCCCCGACTCACACCTAGAAGTCCCCGTTTCCCCAGCTTGCGCATCACCAGCTTATCACCGATTTGGGAGCATAGGGAACCCAGGCCACAGAATCAGGAAATTGGGGAAAACAAGACGTGTACAGTTGGATAACTCTGGCCTATCCAACGTACCCGCCATCTTGCTGTGGAAGGCATCATTGTTTCCCTGAATAAACTGTAACATTTTTAAGACCCTTATATTCGCAGCATAACATCACCCATAACACCATCCTAGATTGGTTCCCTGCGATTCAAGGTCACTGTCAGTGAAGTCCAACAGACCCTAGGGTGGACTGGATGAAGCTATGCGGCTCTGGAATTCCACATCCCTGATTTATTTTTCCTAATAGCATTTAACTATCTGGCATATTTTCCATTTTTGCCTGGGAGGACAGACATGTGGTTTGAATTCTTTCATTTGCATAGACAAAATAGCTGAATGATCAACGTTTTTGGTTAAACAAATAGGAATGTGCAATATAGCCAGAAGTCTTTAAAGAAGGTAGCATTTCTTTCAGGGCCCAGTTGTTACTTCATGATGATTTGATTATAATGTTCATTTCTGTCTAATGTGGTCTCTCAGGCAGCTTGAGCTGCTCTAATAATAATACCATAGACTCTGGCTTAAACAACAGAAACTCATTCCTCAAAGCTCTGAAGGCTAGGCCGTCCAAGATCAAGGCGCCCGCTAATTTAGATCCTGGTGAGAACTTCCTTGCTTGCAGTCATCTGCTCTCTGTATCCTCATACGGTGGAGAGAGAGAGAGAGAGAAATCTCATGTTTCTTCTTACAAGGGCACTAATCCCACTTATGAGGGCCCACCCTCATGACCTAAGTACCTCCCAGAGATCCCATCTTCTAATATCAGCACAATGGGATTAGGGCTCCAATGTATGAATGTGAGGGGAACATAAATATTTAGTCCATAGCATGAAGTTAGCCAGTGGGCCAGATATTGGCTCACATTTTAGAGTAAAATGGGTGACTTGAAGCATCATAAATGAGTAAAACCGACCCTCTCTAGACTGTGACCACTGACTAGAATATTCTCTGAATATGCTGTCCCAACCAGAGCAGAGGGAAAGACAGCCATAGCTTGTGCGGTGCTTAGGAGCATCTATTTTAACAATTGTGCTTAAGTTCTTCCCCTTTGCGGAGACTCTCCCAAGAGGTCCAAGGTACCTCCCCACCCACCTCACTCTGTTATGTTTACACACTTGGACACAGACACTCTGGGAAAAGATGCCAGTAACAACTTTCCTTTGTTTGGTTTAGAACAGACTAGCAGAGAAAGGTGTAGGAATGAAGCACTAATGAGGTTACTAGGGAGGTAAGAAGCATAGTGAATGTCAACCGTCAAGAGCAAGGGGGCTTAAACAGCAAATTTATTTTCTCACAGTTCTGAAGGCTGGACATCTGAGTCAGGGTGCCGGAATGGTGGATTCTAGTGAGGACTCTTCCCGGCTGATAGACGGCCATTGTCTCTCTGTGGCCTTCTGTGCATGTGCATGGTGCGCAGAAGTGGGGGGTGGGGGGGTGGGGGGGGAGCACTCTAGTGTCTCTTCTTATGAGGACACTAATCCAGTTCCATCAGGGCCCCACCCTTATGACCTTAATCAACCTTAAAAACTTCCTTAGAGGCTCCAGCTCCAAATACAGCCACACTGGAAATTTGGGAGAACATAAGCATTCAGTCCACAGTAACTCTGAAGACAACAGTCTGCCTCTCCATCCTTACTCCTGTTACAAACTAGGTGTGTGGCTTTGAGGAAATTCTCTAGCTTTAAAAAATATGGATTCTGGGGACCCAGTCTGGATCAAATAAATTTGAATTTCTGGGGGTGGGGCTTGAGCATAGGTACTTTTCAAAAGCTCCTTAGATGAGCTTCTCAGTGTGCAACCAGCTGAGTAGTGGAGTTTTTGAGGCAAATACAGGAGGGCGAACTGTAGCAGAATCCGTCTGAAGAATGATGTGAATGAAACAGCTGTGAGGCTTGGAGAATTTGGCTCTCTGGTATCTTCATGTGGCGTCGTGGGCACATTCTCCGTACAAGACATCTGGGTTTGACTCAGCTACTTCTAGCCGTAAATTCCTTACTTAGCAGTTTTAGCCTTCTCACCTGTAAAACGCCAGTCCTCAGGTTTTCTCTGGAATAAAATGAGATGGTAGATATGAAGAGACTCTAGAGCAGGGGTGGGCAAACTTTTTGACTCGAGGGCCACAATGGGCTCTTAAACTGGACCGGAGGGCCGGAACAAAAGCATGGATGGAGTGTTTGTGTGAATTAATATAAACTCAAAGTACACATCATTACATAGAAGGGTACAGTCTTTTTTTTCAATAGTTTTATACATTTCAAACGGGCCGGATCCGGCCCGCGGGCCGTAGTTTGCCCACGGCTGCTCTAGAACCTACATGCATTTCAGGAAGGTAAACACTGAGGCTTCTTTGGGCCCCGACTTCACCCTGACTGCCAACTGTGTTGTGATTCCCAGTAAGTCCCGCTATGAGGTCAGTGACCCCATCTATAGGACCATAGAATCTATTGGCTATAGGACCAATGTCCTCCAGCTGTGGAGACACTTCCTCCTCATCCCCACTCACTTAACTCTGCCCATTGACTTTGAGCTCTAATGGGGAGGGACGGGACCTTGGTGACAGTGAAAGGGGACTCTGACCTTGACCAATGTCGCCCTCTCCTCTTCCGTAGGAACATGCTTGCCAACTCAGCCAGCGTGCGGATTCTCATCAAGGGAGGCAAGGTGGTGAACGATGACTGCACCCACGAGGCTGATGTCTACATTGAGAACGGCATCATCCAGCAGGTGGGCCGGGAGCTCATGATCCCCGGCGGGGCCAAGGTGATCGATGCCACTGGGAAACTGGTGATCCCTGGAGGCATCGACACCAGCACCCACTTCCACCAGACCTTCATGAACGCCACGTGCGTGGATGACTTCTACCACGGGACCAAGGTAATGCTCCTCTTCGCCGAAAGTGCCCTCTGCTTTGGCGTCTTCTCTTTCTGGGGCTACTCCTGAGTAGACACAGGTGGACCAGGTGCTCCCACTGTATTGCAAGAGGAGAAGAGTGCTCCCGCGGGAGCCGCTGTGGCAACTAAAATGAAGTGTAGACGTCAATGATTTTTAGTATATTTACCATAAGTTGGTAAATGAAGTATTTGTGAAAATGAAATCAGGCGGTATGTACCCTTGTGTTGGCTTCTTTTGCTCGACGTTATTTTTGTGAAATTCACCCATGTTGTTGTGCATCGTTTACTTTCATTACTTTATAGTACCCCACTGTATGACAGACCACATATCGCACTTACCCATGCTGCTATCAGTGGGCACTTGGGTAGTTGCTAGTTTGAGGCGATTACCGACATGGTTGCCCTGAGCATTCTCACCCCTGTCTTTTGGCAGACGTGTCCGCACACATGTCTGTTGGGCATATTCCTAGGAGTAGGATTGCTGGGTCCTAGGGTAACGTATGTTCAGCTTTTGCCAAATCATTTTCCAAACTGGTTGTAACAGTGTTACTCCCAGCAGTCATGTAAGAGAGATCCCAGTATTTACCATCAGCATAATGCTGATAACCAGGCCGGTCCATGTTGGGGTCCGTTCTGTAGTAGGCTCAGGCCTTGCACCAAATATTATAGCTTCCTGGTTACTTTCCCACCTGGGAGACCTTTAGTCCAGGGCCGGATGCCACACCGTCACTACTGTTTACTAGCCTCTCGGAAGGCAGGCTGGCCTTCTTTGTCTGATTTTCACACCGTCATCTGCCAGGCCTCATTAGCCAGGAGTGACAGCTTTTCCCCCGAGAGCCTTTAGCTCTTTAGAGCCCGTGAAGACCTCTGCACATGCATCTCTGTGCAAGGTGGTGGGTCGCTCTTGATCTTTTCCAGGCCTCTCATCCATGGGAGCCGCTGCCTCTGGAAATCACACAAAAGTCCCTGCGCGATTCAAGGCCCCAGCTCTCCCATTCCTGCAGGCTCGGGCTGCCTCAGGCACCCCCTCTATGCCAGGCCCTAGTGGTGGGGAATTTAAGGGTCCATAGACCCTGAGCCGCCCTGGCTGGTGGTGTCCCCTAACAGACCCTTTGGTTATATCCACCCCCTAAACAAGATTGCGCCTTGTCCTTGTCCCTCAGCTCATATTGAGAAAGGCAGTCCTCCCTGGACCCCTGGACCCCTTCAGTAGACCCTTTCCAGAGTCCTGCCTGTGGCCTCCCATCCTCCCAACAACTGGCTTCCTGTCCCATTTCCCCTCCCTCCCAGGATTTCCCCTCCCCAGTGGTGCTCCTACCATTGGATGTGTTGGCTTCCTCTTTCCTCTAGTTCCTGACCATCTCCTGGGGAGAGAAAGTGCTCTCCTGTTGCAGGCTGCTCCCGGGAATGTGTGGATTTAATTATTCACGCGGCCTGTGGCTCTTGCACAGTCTGCACCCTGATCCATTGCCACTGACCTACTTCGTACCTTCTAAGAAAGGCAGCAGTGGATTCACGTGAAGCATCTGGGTTTATAATGGAATAATAATCCCAAGGAAAAGCTCACCCGAGTGATTAGCCCAGAGAAAAAGAGAGATCAAGTTGCACCTTTTTGTTCTTGTCCGACAGATCCGTGGGGCCTTGAACTCCGCACCCCCTGTGCTCCTGCAGGCTTGTCAGTTTGGCAGCAGCAGCCAGGGCTGAGAAAACAAGACTGAAAGCCTGGCTTTTCTGAAAGCATCTGGGACTCCATTGTCCTGGGTCTGAAGGGATTTCTCCAGCACGTCTTTAACAAACGCCTTGCCCGCCTTTGCCTCTGTCAGAGGCTGTGACAAGCTCTGCCTGGCTCCCCTGGCTCTGCGTCTCATGCTCACAGCTGGTCACTTGATCCTCCTCCCCACACCCCACACCCTCCCAACCTTTAGACCCCGCCTTCCCCAAGGCCAGTACCTGGGTTTCCAGACCACCAGATCCACCTGCTTGTTAATATTGCAGACTCCATCGAGGACAGAGGTTATCTCCTGTGGGGAAGCGAGGGAATGCGGGGAGGAGAGAGGACAAGGAACAGCAACTGGGTTAATAAAGGTCTAGGATTCCAGGTGGCCATGGGGTCTTTTCTTCTTCTTCCTGACTTATAAGTTATACTTATTCTTTAGTGTATATCTAATATTACACAATAAAGAATGTCAGTGCACCCCACCAATGGCTCTCCCTGGCCAGGTGGGAATATCAAAATAGGCTTTTTAAACTGCTGGCACAACCCCTTCACTAATATTGGGGGCGGGGGGTGGGAAGTATGGACAATAGAATAAAAAGCTTCCTAGATGCCTTTTCTGCTCCTGCTCCTCCAAAAATAAATCAGTAACCGCTGTGTAGGCTAAGGATAGGGAACCTTTTTTCTGCCAAGGGCCATTTGGATATTTATAACATCGTTCACGGGCCATACAAAATTAGCCTGCTATATTTGGGCAACATTTAATTAACTCACCCCTAATGCCTTGGGCAGGCCCAGACTAAATGATTTTACCAAATGATTTCACAGGCCTTATATGGCCTGAGGGCCGGACGTTCCCCACCCCTGGTCTAGGCCAATGGTTTTCAACCCTTGGCAGCAAATTATAAGTCAGAACTATTTGGGGGATTTTAATTTAAATAATACTAGTGTCCAGGCCCCACCCAGACCAATGGAAGCAATGTTTCTAGGTCTGCCTCTCCCGTCGTATTTTTTAAAGCATCTTTGATGATTCTAACACTGGCAGGCACATTATGAAGGAACTTTCTCAGCTGTTTTGAATGGCACGTTGTCCTGGCTGTTACTTCTGTCACCTAACTGACCCTCACCTTTCGTGCCAGGGCTGACAACTGAATCCCCTTTGAAAGCTGGGGCCTGCCTTGCCCTTGCCAGTCTTATTTATTTCCTTCTCTCCTATTTACATGCCAGGGTCCCATCACCGGGCTTCCAAACCCCACCCTATACTTGCTAAGTTTCCCTGGCCCCATGTTCTGCCCTCCTGTCCATGCCCCATAGAAACCATCAGGGAGAGAGGAGTTGGCCGTGGTAGAGGTGTCATCAAATGGAAGTCCGGCTGGGTGCCTCCCTCTTCTTTGATGGCCCAGAGATTCCCTCCTTTCTGTGCCAGAGCCATCTGGCCCCAGAGACAGCCTCCCACTAACTCAGAATCAGTAGCAGCAGGACATCTATTCTGGTAGTCAACCTACAATGGAAGCCAAATGCTAACCAGAAGGGTGCTTGGCCAGCGTGGGATCTGCCCAGGGAATGTTCAATGGCGTAAGGAAGCTAGGATGGCCTGCCACATCCCAGCCGCCAGGGAGGGTCCTGACACTCCTCCTCCCCCTGCAGAGGAGTCCTGAGTAGGATAGGCTAGGACAGTGGTCAGCAAACCGCGGCTCGCGAGCCACATGCGGCTCTTTGGCCCCTTGAGTGTGGCTCTTCCACAAAATACCGACTTCTGCGCATGGGCCACGAAGTTTCAATCGCACTGTATGTGCGCACCCGCATGTGGTATTTTGTGGAAGAGCCACACTCAAGGGGCCAAAGAGCCGCATGTGGCTCGAGAGCCACAGTTTGCCGACCACTGGGCTAGGACATAAATGAATTCCCTTTGGTGCCCCACCTGCCAACATCCTTACCAGGGCCCCATTTATCCTTTGGGCAGGCTGTGTGCTGTTTGCCTTTGAAATTTGCTCTTTTGGAATTAAGCCTTTAAGTGCTTCTCACTTCCTTCTTGTAGCTTGACTCCAATGTTCTGTCCGTTTCTGTTTAATTCTGGCTTAAAATGTCTTAAGTCTTTTATAAAGCTCTGTAATAACATTTCTTGCCCAGCTGGTGTGGCTCAGTGGTTGAGCCTCAACCCAGGAACCAGAAGGTCACGGTTCAATTCCGGGTCAGGGCATATGCCCAGGTTGTGGGCTCGATCCCCAGTAGGGGGCATGCAGGAGGCAGCGGATCAGCGATTCTCTCTCATCACTGATGTTTCTCTCTCTCTCTCCCTGTCCCTTCCTCTCTCTGAAATCAATACAATGACATTTCCTAGCTTATTGGGATCCAGACTCATATGATCTTGCTCATTAATTGATGTTCCCAAGTTCATGCATGTCTGCAAAAAGCTGGAAGGGACCTTAAAAATCTAGTCCCACCCTCTCATTGATGGATTGATAGGAGGATGAATGAGTTGCCCCAAATCCCAGAGGTAATTGGACCAGAATGCAAGTTTCTCAGTCTGAGGTCCTTTTCACCACGCCACTCAGGGGTTCCTGAAACCCCAGAGCTGGACAGACACCCCTTCCAGACAGTCTGTGACTTCTTGATGGGCTTCATGCCAATAGCTGCCTTGGCTCTGTGGCTCTGAACATGCCTGGGCCAGAGGAGGGCATCCTGGAGCGGGCATACCTCAGGCAGACAGTGGAGTGAGTTCCCCTCCAGGCAGCGCTTTACAAAACACCTCTCCTCCCTGGAGAGTAACGTCGATGTCAGTGCCTTCGAGCTGACAGCTTTTACCATTTACAAATGAATGGTTGCTCTGAGGATTAATGAAGTGATGCAGGAAAAACACTTCGCCCAGCGCCTGGCACAGAGGACTAGTATGCATGCGATAAACCTCGGTCCCCAGGCCGTCTCTCTGTCTTTCAGTCTCTTAGGTTATTTGATCCACCCACTTTGACTTTACAGCGAAATTATTCGCTGTCCATCTAGTGCCCGTGATGCCTGTGGCCCTGGGCCAGCTGCTGCCACACTGTGCCCACTCTGCCTGCTGACCTGCCGCCCTTCTGGCCTGGCTGTGCCGGTTGGGATCAGCAAAGCCGGCTCCTCTCTCTGTCTTCTGAGTCACCCACAGTCGCACTAGAACCCCAGGAGTGCTTCATGAGGCGACGCCCCTCCCCAGCCACCTGGAGGACTTCGCTTCTCCTACCTCTTCAGCTGGCAGGCACCTCATACCTGACAGGGGGTGTATTAATTTTCTA